GAGAGTTTGGGTTTGGCGATGATGATTGTGATTCATTTTGTCTTGTTCTGAAAGTCCACTTAGGAGAGTTGTCTTTGTCTCCTGGCCCCTCTGGCTCTTTACGAGAGAATTTTCAGGTAGTGTCGGTTAGGGGCTGGGGGAAGCCACGAGAGAGTGTAGCCAAACCCATCTGGGAGAGAATTTGGCTGCTGCTGTGTCTCCTCGGCATTGGGGGCAGAAGGGAGGATAGCTACATGAAGCCATCACCTAGCAGGAAAATAAATGTCCCCAATGCCTAGTTATTGTGTGGATTCTTTTTAAAGATATAAAAGGGATGACAAATATATAATGATTCCCGATCATCATATGAAGAACAAATAAGGCTTAGCAAGAGCACGTGGCTTGTGGGACTGGCCTTTCCATGGGGCAGTCACTATAAACCATGTCCTCTCTCCCCCGATGGATGTCCCTCCCTTTCTTTTCAGTCCAGGTACGTTATGAAACAGTGAGAACTCGCAAATATACATACAGTACAAGGTCATGTATATGTAGCTGCGTGAAGTTGAGTCTGGTTGTGAACTTGGACTCCTGTTAACTAAGCATTTACTGAGTGTCAAGCTTTAGAAGATGCCCTTTCCACGAAATATGTCATTTAATCTTCATAGCAGCCCCATGAAATATAGCAGTTTCCCCCATTTTACACATGAAAAGCCAGGTTTGGAGAGCTGTGTTACCTTGGCCAGGGTCCCAGAGCCGGAGAGAATAGATGATGATGAATGGGCCTTTAGAATCTATAGGAAGAGGCATGTAACAGTTTCCCACAGTTACAGAACCTAGGCTATGAGGGAGCTAAGGTGGGAGCCCTGGTCGTCCAGGCCCCGGAGGCTGTGCTGTGCTATGAACCATCGCATCGTCCTGGTCGCTTCGTGCCCGTAATCAATTTAATGGATAAGCTGAGGTCGATTCACTGCTCAAACTCCCTCCTGAGCCACCCACCAGCTTATTAAAACTAGCTTATTAAAACTAGTCAGTAAAGTGTAAGTTGACTGTAAATTTCTTATTTTGGATTATCTTTGATGTTCGTCATCAGAAGTGTCTGGGAACTGACCAAACCCGTGGCCTCTTCCTAGGAACCACCTTTTTCCAAGTTTAAAGGATTATTTGTTAATGGCTCCACTTAGAAGGTAAAGACAATTCCGTTTCTCCCCTCATGTACAGTAAGCATCTGAGTGGCCTCATTGAGACTCTGTCGATGTACAGGAGTGCCCCAGCCTTGTGCCATGAATAAGACATATGGCGCGTCATCTGCTCTCTCTTGCTTGGTATTAGTTCAGAAATTTAACTTTAGAGCATGTAATCCTTCTGTTTAGAAATGCGCATTGATGGAGCCAGAGTTGCAACCTGGAGCTGTTCTGTCATCTGGAATATGCTCATTAGGTTCTGGCTTCTGACGGCCAGATGAAGTATAAATAAAAGATGCCCGGTTTCCTCCTGATGAGTTAAGCCCCTGCACTTGAATGCATTCTGGTAGTGTGTGCCCTGCCCCCATGCTGAGGACATCTGAAAGTGGGCAGAACAACAGGAAGAGTGGGGATGCAGGGGAAAGTAATTCAGGGTGGTTAAGGTACCAGTGTGTGACAAAGCCATGTGCACTCGGAAGTTTATGGAATGAATGCCCTTCGGTGGTGATAACTCACTCTACCCTGCCCTGTTGTCATTTAAACCTCAAGTATGCCATTTCACCTTAATGCATCTGTCCATTATAATGTCACAGGAAATGAGTGCACAGGAAGCAAGAAAAATTTTGCTTATTGACAGAACAAAAAATTGTTTTGCGTTTCCCACTAATGCGTTTCCTGCATTTCTAATTAGTGTGATGAAAAAACTCATTGCCAAGGAATTGTGTGGTATTTGCTTAAGCTTCATTCTAAAATTGTGAGGCTTGGGAGAGTTAGCCCAGAGTGTTTACTTCATGTGCACTGAGATAGTCCAATGCCAGCAGGTTAGAAGCGATGGTGCAAATTGTTATTCAGATATAATTAAACCTAGGTCACATTCAAGCCCATTAAGCAAGAGCCTCAAATCCTTTTAATTAATGGGTTCAGATTGGTTGGTCTGAAGGAGCTAATTAAATTTTTTCCAGGATTTTGTATGTAAATAGACAAACATTGTGCTTCTTGCATATCCTCCAGACTTGTTTGCAATTTGGAGTTGATGAAGGTATCAGCGCTTAGTGGCAGGCCCCGATTCTCAGAGGCCAGAAAACACGCAGCTCCAGGGCTCCGATTAAGCCCATCTGCGTGGAAACTTCATCTGCATCTTCCAGCACCTTTCTCCTCAAAGGGATCTGGAAGCCCTATGCCTTCCTGTGCCCAACCTCGCCTCATAGAAGTCATCTTTCCCCAGGGCAGCTGGTGCATTCTCTCCCAAATTGGATGGGGAGGGCAGGTCACAGAAATCAGGGCCTCAAGGATGGTAACCCTGGATTCTTCATATTTAACAAAGCTGGGCTGTCTTGGGCCTGGTGCTTCCCCATTTCCTTCCATTTCTTCTGCTGCTGTCCCCCATGCCCCTACCCGAGGCACACGCTCAGGCCACACCCTGTACACACATCCTCTCCGCTAATCCCACTCCTGTTAGCTTCAGAATAAGACCCAGGAACAGCTTGCGGGGCATGGAGATGGACCCTATATCCTGCATTTTGCAGGCTCCTGCTGCCACG